GTTCCAGTTTCATAAAGTATGCTCTCTGATCACAATAAAATTAAATTAAAAATCAGGAACAAAAACACATCTGGACTGGGGCTGGAGAGACAGGACATGCTTAGCAGCACACAGTGCCCTTTCGGAGGACATGAGCTCAGTCCTCAGCATCCGTGTCAGGCAGCTTACAACTGCTTGTCACTCCAGCTCCAGCAGACCTGACATTCTTTAATTCATCTACATGCTCAAACAATAAGAATGACTTACAACATATCTGGAAAATCCTCAAGCATGTAGAAATTAAATAATTCAGTACCAGGTAATTCATGAAATTAAAGAAAAATACTTGTAACTATATGAAAAAGCTATAAAAATTGAGATGTAGCCAAAGTTGTTCTTCAACAATACCTTAAAAACCAAGATCTGAAAACCAATTACCTAAAAATGGACTTGAAGAAACTAAAGAGAAGAGCTGAGGATGTAGCTCCATGGATGTTGTGGGTGCCTAGCATGTACAAAGTTGTGAGTTCAATTCCCAGCACCATGTAAGTCAGGTATGGTGGCCCATATCTGTAAACTAGAACTGGGGAGGCAGAAGCAGGAAATTCATAAATTCAAGCTCATTCTTGGCTATATAGCAACTCTGAGGGTAGTATGGGATACGTGTGACCCTGCCTCAAACAAACAAAAAGAAATAAAAATAAATAAATAAAGGGAAGAAAAAAGCTAAATAATTCTATATGTATAACTGGAAGAAAAAATCATAAAAGTAAGAATTAAAATCAATAAGATAGAAATGTCTATGAAAGGCCGGGTATGATAGCTTGTTTCTCTAATCAAAGCACGAGTGAGTCTAAAGCAAGAGAACCACCAACAGTTTGGGGCCAGCCTGGGGCTACATAGTGAGTTTCAAGCCAGCTTGAGCTATAGTGTAAGGCTACTGAGAAAGAAAGGAAGGAAAGAGAAAGGAGAGAAAAATGTGTAAGCAATAGGAAAAAATACCAACAAAAATATAAGGCCAGGCAGTGGTGGCCCATGCCTTTAATTCCAGCACCTGGGAGGCAGAGGTAGGTGGGTCTCTCTGAGTTTGAGGCCAGCCTGGTCTACAAAGTGAGTTCCAGGACAGTCAGAGCTAAACAGTGAAACTTGGTCTTGGAAAAAAAAAATACACAACATCAATCAATATTATGCCAAATATAGGTAGCAATCTTGAGCAACATTTTGGCAAAAAAAAAAAAAAATCCAGCAGTATATAAAAAATACAACTTATAGTCAGGCAGTGGTGGTGCCTGCTTTTAATCCCAGCATTTGAGAGGCAGAGGCAGGTGAATCTCTGTGAGTTCGAGACCAGCCTGGTCTACAGAGTGAGTTCCAGGATAGTCAAGGCTACACAGAGAAACCCTGTCTCAAATCCCGTCCCTCTCAAAAGCACAATTTATATCAATCAGGTAGGCTTCAGTGGAAGTGAATGAAACCCAAGAAAGGTTAAACAGTTAATACTGTCAGCTAGCTGAGAAGGAGAAAACGTATGTGATAATGTTAATTGGTACAGAAAAGTATCAAAACTCAGAAGGCACTCATGGTAAAACAAGGGAAGAATTGTTAGCACGGTATGAACAGAAGGCAGCTTCCCCAGCTTACAGCAGGTATTCATGAACCTCAAACACTGTATTTAACAATAAAAGACCACGTGGACCTCTGGTCTTTTGAATGAGAATGATCCACATAGGTTCATATGTTTGGTCCCCAGTTGGTGGAACTGTTTGGGAAAAATTAGGAGGTGTGACCTTGTTGGAGAAGGTGTGCCACTGGCATGGGCTTTGAGGTTTCAGAAACCCATGCCACGCTGCTCCTCTCTCTCTCTCTCTCTCTCTCTCTCTCTCTCTCTCTCTCTCTCTCTCTCTCCTTCCTTCCGTCCCTCTGTCCCTCTGTCCCTGCCTCCCTTCTTCCTTCCCTCCCTCCCTCCCATTTTTTGGATCAGATGTAAGCTCTCAGTTACTATTTCAACACTATGCCTGCCTGCCACCATGCTTCCTACCACGATGGCCATGCACTCACACTCTGCAACTGTAAGCCAGCCCTCATTTAAATACTTTCTTTTATAAGTCCCTTGGTGATGAGGTCTCTTCACAGCAGTAGAACAATGACTAGGACTTGACCTAAGGTATGTAAAGGTCCTGGCCTAGTAAGTCCTTCTGCATTTGTTTAGTGGTGTCTTGGGTGTCCTTCCCAGTAGAATAGGTAAGAAATTAAAGAAGAAAAACAGACTTTATTTGTTTGTAGAAAATGCAAATTAAAATAAAAACAGAAGCCAAAACTGCTGGAATTAATAAGTTTAATCAAGTTGTGCAATATGAAGCTACCCCCAACAGTTATTTCTTTATACCAGCAATAAACAATTGGAAATTAGAATTTCAAAATATTTTTGTTTACACTAGCATCACAAATTGCTAAAACACTTCCAAATATATTTTAAAATATATGCAAATTCCCCATGCTGAAAGCTATAAAACATTCATGGGAGAAATTAAAGAGTACTTAAGTTAATGAAGATATAGATGTTTGCAAGTTGGAGGATTCAGTGTTGTCCACATATCAATTCTCTTTAAGTTGATCAGTGAGCAAACTAACAGAAGAAAAGAAATTGTTCGGTTGGCTCAGTTCTAAAAGTAACAAGCTAACTCTGAAGTCTAGGTGGAAAATATAACTAACCACCTTCCCCCAAAAGTAGGAGAGCTAAACAGAGTTTGAAACAAAAGGGAATAAAGTTTGAAGACTTATTTTACTTAAACTAGATGGCTACCAACACTTACTAAGTAGGGAAACATTTTGTGGTGTCCATACAACTAAACACAACTCAAGAGTAATGAAGGAACAAAGTCTGGGTTTGGGTAACAAAAGTGATGGATTTTAAAGACATGCTGAGTGAAGGAAGTCAAACATAAAGAGCCCGTATCATTTAATGCCAGATACACACAATGCTGGGAAAGATGTACACAGCATGTAGCTGCAGAAATTATCTCAGAGGGGCTGGCAAGATGCTTCAAGAAGTATAGCTGCTTGATGTCACGCTCAGTGACCTGAATCTGATTCCCTAGACAGACAAGGCAGAAGGAGAGAGCAGACTTGGACAAGTTGTTGCTGACCTCCACACCAACACCCCCAACTCCAATAAGATATATAAAACTACAATAAAACTTTTAAAAAAAGACCTCACTGAACTAAATAGGGGTCAGTTTGGATGTTAAATTTTGGGGGTCAGATGGGGTGTGGATAGAATTATTGGTTATCTCACTTGGTAATGACTACCTAGTTGTTCATATTGTTCAAAAATACACCAACCTGCACACCAAACATGGCACAATATACTGAATGAACATTTAAACTGATAAAAACAGAAGGAAAGACTAGTAGATTTTCTAAAAAGGCAAGCTTTGGGGGACACACAGTGTGAACTGGTATTATTAGTCTGAGAGCAGTTAAAAACTACCATATGCATTAGTCACTTTGAGGCTTATCTGTCCTGTGCGTCACAGTTCAGATTCTGGTCAAGGAGGGCCTGTGGGCTCTGGCTCAGTTCAGGGCCTGCTTGTGAGCAGGGCCTGAATGACCTTCTCATTGGGATTGTAGTGCTTGCGGCCAAGTCAGTCTTCCAAAGATAAGTGAAGATAATACCTAGTTAACTAACCACACAGACACACAGACGTACAGACAGATAGAAGGACGGACAGACAGATGGACGGACATAGAGACAAGCAACCAGACAACGCAAAGAAGGTCTCCAAAGGTACCAGAGTCCAACAATGATACCTAGTTAACCAGAGATAGCCAGACAAGCAACCACCCCGCTCACAACAAATGGCCCTCTCTAGTGAGTGATTCCAGTGAAGAGCAAAGACGATGGGCACAGGTGCGATTCAAACATTTTCACTTCGTTTCAGCATGAATTCACTCATACAGTCTGGAGTCCAGATAATCTGTGAAGAAGGTAAACTTGCGCGTCTGAAAACTTGGAGGTTTTTCTAGAAAGAACTTCTGTTACTCGAGGAAGAGAAGTCTGTAAGGAGAAGGTTGTCTGGCTGTCTGGCTTTGGGAATGGGACTCTCGGCTGCTTTCCTGTGTGTTTGGAAGTGAGCAGAATTAAGAAACTACTGCCTAGTAACTAGAAAGTTTTATAAGGTCCCGGTCCCGGGGTTGTTGGGATGCTGTGTTCAGGTCTATCCCTGGGTCTCCGGGGCCTCCTGGGTGGTCGGCAGAGGGAGCTATTCCCCAAGAAATCCCCGTGCGGGGACCTGGAAGCTACCCGCTGGGAGTTCGGAGATGGGGGAAGCTGTCCCTCCACCCGCCCTGCAAGGCTGGCGGGTCACCCTCCAATCGCCTCCCTCCTCCCTCCCCACCTTCCCAGTCACTTAGTTGTGGCTCCACGCACCCGCACCGTGGCCCAGACTGGTCCCCATCCCTTCTCGCTCCTACTTTTGCGCTCCCTCACACGGGACGCGCTGTCCTGTCCACTTGGCGGGCACCAACCCTGTCCCCCTAGATCTCCCCTCCTGGGGTACTTTAACGCGGGGTTAACACTGGCCCTGTGTCGGGGGCATCACACTCCACTTCAAGTCGCACAGTGACTCCAAGTTTGTCAACTTTGAGACTGGGTCTCTGAAGGGGTTCCAGCAGTCCAGCCAGAAGGACACTACAGGTTTGGAGGGACCGCGAGCGAGCGACACCCCTCCCATCTCCCCAGAGGCCACTGTCCCTGAGGCAGCAGCTGCAGCAACTGCAACTGCTGGCATCCCAGCCCGGCTCCGGTTACTGTTTTCCTCCTCCAGCATCTCCAACCAGACAGGGAAAAGCTTGTTCAAGTTTGCAGCAGGACTTGGTCCCTGTGTGAATCTGGGGCTCCAGGACCGGACTCCTTCCCGGGGCCCCCCATCTTCTGAGCCTAAACAAGAGCTGCAAACATTGCTTTCTCCTGGGACTCGGCTTGGAGGCCAGTGGCGCTGTTGGAAAAAGATTTTGAATCTGGGCCGGAGTGGGTGAAGACCAGAGGAAAGCAGGTTGGCGATTGCCAATCGCAACATCTCAGGACTGGGTAAGAGTTAAGCAAACTCAACTCTGGAGGCTATTGGGCTTGGTGTCTGCTGGGAGGCTTCTTTGGGGCTAGAGGGCACGTTTCCCCGTTAGCCAGGATACCCTAGTGCAGCTAAAGCAGGACGCTGATGGTTTGCCTGCCCTCCAGGGACTTATTGTGGTTGTTTGTTTTGTTATCTGAGGCAGCAGGGAATTCCTGGGAATGTCTCTTCATTATGCATTTTATTTTGGGTATTTTTGCGCCTCTGTGTTGCTTTGCCTGTGTTTGTTCCACCTTGATTGTGACATTGGTGAGTGCAGGGATATTTTAGGGGACATCTGAGAGTGAAATGCAGCTTCCGCTGGGCCTTCCATTGAGGTCTGCCTAGTACTACTCTGGGATCTTAACTTGTTTCCTAAACTTTTCTTTCTTTTAGTACTTGATATTCAGATTGTGTTTGCAGGCTGGGGTTCTCTTCCTGCCTTTAGGGGTGTCAGGGTCCAGGAAGGTTCACAGACCTTAGAGTCCTTGTCAGAGTGCTTGGATTCTTGGGGAACGCTGGGAGGGACAGTTCTTTGAGTCACACTTATTTATTTGAGGGAAATGTGCCCCCGTCGGTCACTTTCCTTTAAATCTCCTCACTCTAGGACTTTCACACACCCGGTTTGGGACTTTTTTTTTTTTTTAAACTTTATTGTTTTCTTTCTGCAAGTATTTTCCTGAATGACCCTACTGAATAAAAGAGACATGGGGGAGCGAATGTGCTGCTGCTTTCACACATAACCTCACACGAATCCCCACATTTTAAAAAGAGACAGTGAAAGCCTGGAATTTTCTTGGCATGAATGAGGCATCGTTTCTGCTATTGGGCAACAATAGCCATGCTGTGCCGAGGCAGAGAATGGCATCTTTGGTTTCTTTATGCCAGGTCTTAACTTTGTATACAGTCTTCTCAAATAAAACCCTTCATTCCTGTTCCTTATGGGTAAAAAGAGCAGGACACATGACATTACCCAGAAATGCCCTCAGCCTGACTGGCATGCTCTAAGGAGTCAGCTTACACCATCCTTTTGTTTTGCTTACAAGGCCATGGAATTCCTTTAGTAAACTAGGATCAGGTGATCAGGGTTCAAGGCCCTACTCTGATACTTTGCAGTTGTGTGGTTTGGTGTAGCTTATTAACATATCTTTATGTGTGTCTATAATATCAGGCTTACTCTAGAGCTAAAAGAGTTAGTGCATGGGAAGCTCCACACAGGGGAGGGGTTAGCTACTACTATTGTCTTACTGTTGAGCCAGCATTAATGGTTGTGTTGCTTTTATTGTCTCCTTTGTTAGCTATTGGCAAGCCATAGTTGCTACTGCTTTTGGGAAGGACTTTGATGGCTGATCTCATCTTCAAGCTTTGCCACTGCCTAGAAAATGATGATTTGCTCAGCTTAGTTCATGAATGTTCCTGGCAGTGTTTTCTGCTGGGTGCTTTCAGTAGAGAGGAAGGTGTGTGTGGTGGCGCTGGGATCTGAAAAGCAAGTTCATGATTGGATACCACAGGATATGGGAAGTGATGTCCTGTACACTTCCTTAGAAACTTTTGTGGCATTGGCATAGTCTCTTTATCCTACGTTTCAGAGGTCAATCAGTCAGTAGGTGAACGTTTATGAAACATCTGCACTTATTTCTCTGGCTTTATTTTCAAAATGAACATGTGTAGTTTCTTTATGACCCTCTCTGCCCTACTTCATTTTAAGTATGCCAACATTGTCTTCATGAGGCAATGTCCATAAGCAAAGTCCAAATGCTTTAGCCACAGATGTCAACACCTGATTACATACACACACAAGCATGTAAAACTGAGAGTGGCCATGGAGTTTTCTGTGTGACCTCACAGAGGTTGCTTCTCTCTTTTGGCACTAGTTTTATGGTGCTTGAGTTTGTATGTGTGTGTGTGTGGCGGGGGTGGGGGCGGTAGGGAAAGAATGTTGGTGTGCCTCGTGGCTCTAAAAGCCTTTATATGTGTTACTTTACTTCATTGCTGGCTGTGTTTGACACCCCCCTTTCCATTTTTAGCATTTGCTTGGGCGCATAAATTATGGAACTTCCATATTTGCAGGCTAACTCATGATAAATAGGAAGGGGAATACATTAAGCCTGCTTATATTCCACCAGCTGCCTTCAGACTTGGGTGTATCAGAAGCAGAAAATTTGTTTAAAAATATTAGATATTTTTTATCATAAAAATTACCAACACTTGACCACTTTTTTTAAAAAAAAATCTAAACAAATTACAGTTTCTTATGGTTCCTATGGTGGTGTGTAAACCTTGGCTCCTCCCTGAGTCATAAAGTCTTGGGTGAATTTGAACACATCTATAAAATCCTGAAGTTAGTTGTGATGCCAGAGTCATTGTACAGCAGTAGGTTTACCCTCTTCAGATTGTTGCTTCAGTCTGACGAGACATTTCTAAGATACAAGTCTGATCATGTGATACCCTTGCTTAACTCCTTGGCAGATCACTAGGTGGGCGGTGACCATCAGTGTCTTGTACGGGCTGTTGAAAATGCAGTCCCCACATCAAGGTTGGAGGAGTACCAACCCTGTGTTCTAGCACAAAGCTTCTGTCAGCCTCATAACTCTCCTCCAAAGACCACCTTTGCACCCTCTCCCGTGCTGTTCTCTGTGTTCTTGCTCCCAGCCCCCCAGTTCCTGCAGATCTCATTATGTCCCCAAATACACGGCACCCATTCTTTTCTCCATGGCCTCACTGAGTAGATGATCTTTCTGTTGGAAATGTCTTCTTTTGTGTGTAAGCAGCTGTCTATTATCCATTTATCTTTGAAGATGCAGCTCAAATCAGACATCCCCCTCCACCCAATCTTTCTATTTCTCCTATGAGCAGTTTGTATCCCGTGAGTTGCCATTCATCTCTGTGGACATCTTTTTGGGTACCTTGTTATCTGAATGACATTCCCAGCAGGTTGGTGAGTTCATCGTTCCTTGATGAAATGCCTTACTCAGGTGGCTGGAATGTTTAAGTTACATAATAAATGCCCCTCCAAATGTGAGAGAAGAATGAATGAATGAATGAATGAATGAATGAATGAACACAAGCTGGTGTTTTTCTGTGGCACAAAATGTTAGGACTCATACTTATCATATCTATTAAGGGTGGCACAGAAGCCAGTATAGAATTACTACTTGTCTATATGATCTATGAAGTTACTAGAGAAGAAAATATTCTATCCCTATGCTTCTCAACTTTCCTAAGGCTACAGCCCTTTAATACAGTCCCTCATGTTGTGGTGACCCCACCCATAAAGTTATTTCATTGCTATTTCCTAATTGGAATTTTGTCAGATATTAATTATTATTTAAATATCTGATATGCAACCCCCAGTGGATCATGTCCCATAGGTTGAGAACCACTGCTCTAGACTATCCTAAGTGGGCTTACAAAACACCACGTAATACTAAATTCATGCTTACAGGCTCAACACCACAGTAGGTGCTATGTGTGACAGAGAGATACAATTAGACTTTGGGATGGTTTGCTTGTGGTTAGCAGTGTGCCAGTGTGGAAGAGGAGATGCCAATATCAATAACAATTAGCCAACATTATCTCATGCTTTTCAGTGTATGGGCCACTCTGGCATCTGAGTGGTAACTGGTTCAGTACTGTCTTTCTTACTTTCCTACACGGACACATTCCTAAAAGCAGGTTAAACACAGGGCCAGGGCTTTGAATATGAGGGATGCTGACTGAAAAAGGCCGAAACTCTGTGTTGTCCAGACATAGCATCCAGTGTGTCCTCCTCTCTTGAGCTCTCCTTTTCTTAAACATCATTTGCTTTGGTTATTTCCTCCTCGTGTAAGCAAACCTTAGCCCATTCAAGGTCAATTAACATCTGACTCTGTTGAAAGCTTTGCTTATTTTAGCATCTGTGATAATTTCAGCTTCTGTCTCACATTAAGTTTATGTGAAAAATCCTTCTTATAATTGCAGGAGAGTTTTTATTTTTCCTGTTTCCACTCATTTTATTCCCTTAAGAGCGAGTTATATAAATGGGAGCAAATGCTGCTTCAGCAAAGCTGAACCTATTGGCTCATGACAATCCCACATGAAGCAAATATGGAGGGAGTCTACTTATGGGTGGGAAATATCAGCATCGATGAGTGAGTACAGATACCTGGGACTGCTGGATGGACTGTGAACACAGCATCTGCATTCATTGCTGGACTCCTCTGTTCTCAAGAACATGGACCGTGCATTTACTTTCAAAGCTTAGTTTTAAGAATTGATGTAAGACTCATTGAGTTCTAGGGATTCACCATTCACAATTCTTTCCCCCAAATGACCTATTTCTGCCTCAGTACATCCCTGCCTCATGTCTTGCCTGGACTTCTGTCTGTCTGCACTGCCTCACTTACTCATCCAACCATTCTCCAAATCTAAAGTTTTCTGTTTATCTCTTGTCCATATGCAACTCTGAAGGTCAATTTCACTGTAATCATTCTTACTGCTTTTTGACATAGGTGTGTGTGTGTGTGTGTGTGTGTGTGTGTGTGTGTGTGTGTGTGTGTTTGCGTGTGTGTAAAGGGTTCATTCAGGGAGCTTAAAGGGTTGCACAGGAAAGCACAATATCCACACCAGTGGTGTTTTATTTTATTGAACATTCTGTGCACAATTGTCAGTGCCATGAGGCTGTTCTTTGATGATAAATGCCATGCCCCAAGCCAGTCTGGAAGAGTGGCTGTGATTCTATATCCTGCAGTTAGCACTATTAATGTCTATTGATTTCCCCACTATTTCATTTTTAATGATTTATTCTCCCAGATAAAGAAACTATGTAAAGCATTCTAACCACCTCAATTTCCTCTTCAGAGAGCAATAAATCATCTCCCACTCCCCCATAAGACAAGGGAAATAGAATTTCAGTGTGGAGTACCTCATCTTCCTAGGTGCATGTACAGGACATTAGCATCTGTTAAAACCATCAGATCTTTGGGAGCCAGGAGGCCTCATT